GCGGCCAGTACTGGCCCGAGGGCGACGAGGTCTACCACGCGGAGCTCACCGTGCCGGTCCTGCTGGTCCACGGCATGCACGACAAGTTCGTCCCGGTGGAGGAAGACCAGCGCATGGCGGAGGTAGGGGCTCAGCACTCGGGCCACCGTACCCCGACCCTCCTCCTGCAACCCAGGGGGACTCAGCCCCAGGGACATGGGAGCTTGGAGTGAGAAACCCAGAATGTAGGGCTGCCCTGCCCCGCTACCAGGATTATGCACATAAAAAGGCCGCTTTACAGCTGGGATGTGTATAAGTGAGCAGTGAGTGGGGTGGGCTACAAAACTCTGGGAGAGCAGGCCAGGTGGGTCTTTAGATCAGAGGTTGCCAAACAGGGGTCTTAGGATCATTAGCACTTGGCATATCTCTGAACCAGCAGTTCTTTTTTTTTTCTTTGTTCTTTTTTTAATGTACTTTATTTATTTATTTTTTTTACAGAGAGGAAGGGAGAGGGATAGAGAGTTAGAAACAGCGATGAGAGAGAAACATCTATCAGCTGCCTCCTGCACACCCCACACTGGGGATGTGTCCGAAACCCTGACCGGAACTGAACCTGGGACCCTTGAGTTGGCAGGCTGAAGCTCTATCCACTGAGCCAAACCAGTCAGGGCTGGACCAGCAGTTCTTTTTTTAATATATTTTATTGATATTTTACAGATAGGAGGAGAGAGGGATAGAGAGTTAGAAACATCGATGAGAGAGAATCATCCATCAGCTGCCTCTTGCACACCCCCCACTGGGGATGTGCCCGCAACCGAGGTACATGCCCTTGACCGGAATCGAACCCGGGACCTTTCAGACTGCAGGCCGATGCTCTATCCACTGAGCCAAACCGGTCTTGGCTGGACCAGCAGTTCTTTTTGTTTTGTTTTTAATATATTTTATTGATTTTTTACATAGAGGAAGGGAGAGATATAGAGAACTAGAAATGTCGATGAGAAACATCGACCAGCTGCCTCTTGCACACCCACTTCTGGGGATGTGCCCGAAACTCAGGTACATGCCCTTGACTGGAATCCAACCCAGGACCCTTCAGTCTGCAGACTGACTCTCTATCCACTGAGCCAAACCGGTTTCGGCTGGACCAGCAGTTCTTAACCAGCGAGGATTCTGCTCCCTTACCCCAGCCCCCAGGGAAACCTGGGAATGCCGGCAGGCTTTTGGTTGTTGCATTGGGGTGGAGAGCTGGGGAGGAGCTACTGGTGCCTGCCGGTGGAGGCCAGGAATGCTGCTTAACACCTCCCAATAAACAGGACGGCCTTCCAGCAAAGCAAAACCAGGCCCCACATGGCAGTGGTGCTGGGGTGGAGGAATCCTGAGCTGGGCTCCAGCCCCCCCTCGGATGAACGTGCAGCAGTGAGCCGAAACCGGTTTGGCTCAGTGGATGGAGCGTCAGCCTGCGGACTGAAAGGTCCCAGGTTCGATTCCGGTCAAGAGCATGTATCTTGGTTGCGGGCACATCCCCAATAGGGGGTGTGCAGGAGGCAGCTGATCGATGTTTCTCTCTCATCCATGTTTCTAGCTCTCTATCCCTCTCCCTTCCTCTCTGTAAAAAAATCAATAAAATTAAAAAATAAATAAATAAAGTGCAGCTGTGAGGTAGACTTCAGGGGGCCTTCCCCAAGCTGCAAGCCATGGGTGACCGGCGAGGAGTCCCAGAGCCGCCGGCTGTGTGCGCCCTGAGCCTTGATCCCCTACAGATCCTGCTGCTGGCCTTCCTGAAGCTCATCGACGAAGGCAGCCACATGGTGATGCTAGAGTGTCCGGAGACGGTCAACACGCTGCTCCATGAATTCCTGCTCTGGGAGCCTGAGCCCCCGCCGCCTGTCCTCACAGCGCCTCCCGAGAAGAAGTAGCTGCGGGGCCAGCAGGGCCTGAGGAAGAGCAGGACCCGAGCTGCTGGGCCTGCAGCCAGGCGATGGGGCAGGCCGCTGACTCTGGTGGGCGGGGTCAGCCTGGGGCAACACCCCGAGGCTGGCTGGGCTGGCGTGGCATTCCAGGGGGCCCGGTGGACACACACGCTCCTCCTTCGCTTGCATCCAGTGGGGCCCAACCAATGTGGGGCCCATCCTGCCCGTAGCAGGGACTCTCGGAGACGATGATGACCTTGTACAGAAGCCCCCTGCCCATCAAAGCCAAGGCCATGGTCATGGTTGAGGCGACACCCACTCCATTGTCTTACATGTTAGCCATGCTTAATCCAGAGACCCTGGGAGGAGGGGGCGCCCCGTGACCCAAGACCCCTCCACTCCCATTCCCTGGCGTTGGTGGCTTTTGTTGTCTAAGGGGGCAGGGGTGGGGGCACTGGCACCACAGAACCTGCACATCTCAACCTGTAACTCAATAAAAAGAAGTGACAATCCAAGCCTCTGGACCTGTGCTGGGTGACCAGGGGGTGGGGGGGTTTCCCCTGAGCCTCAGTTTCCCCATCTGCAAATTGGGCTGATGCAGGTGCCTGTCCTTCCAGGATTGCTTCCCCAATTTCCCCTTCCTCCTCAGAACACGGGTGCTTGGGCAGTATTCCAGAGCAGGATGACAGTCAGGGGATGAATTCCTTGTCGCTGTAGGGGAGGAAGAGGTCCATATGGAAGCTGAGGTGAGGATCGCTGGATGTCGCATGGGAGTAGAGGAGCCATCATGGAGTGCCAACTGTATACAAGGCCCCATGCTGAGTGCCCGACACCTCTCAGTTCACTGAATCCCCTTCACCCCGAGTCACACAGCAAATCAGTGCCTCTTGCCGTCCCGTCTTATCTTTCAACTTGGTTTCGGGTGGCTTTTGTCGTGAAGGTAGTTGTTTTGAGGCCACCACCTCATTTTCTAGCAGGATTTCCCTGCCCCAGGGCCATGCTCTCGTTCCTCTATATTTTACCCTAATGTTTGTGTACCTAGGCACACTGGTGGCTTGTGAGGATGGTGGGAGGAGACACCTGCCTCCTTGGTTACTGCCGTTGGGAACTTCCCCCTCTGGTTTATGAGCCAGTTTAGCCCAGTGACTCTCACTGGGGGCCGGCTGTCCCTCGGGAAATTCCGGAGTTTTACCACGTCTGGGAGGTGGAGGGCAGGGCAACAGTGACACCTCGTGGGTGGAGTCCAGGGATGCCTCCTGGGCCCTTGCAATGCACAGGACAGCCCCCACCCCCAAAGGAACTGGGCTTTGAGAATCGGTGGAGCAGAGGTTGGGAGACTCTGTTAGAGAAATCCCAGCTCTTTGGGGACTCCGGATTCTTCGCTAGCGACCTGTCTGTGAGTTCCTGGGTAGATGACACACTGTCTTAACTGCTGTCACTTTATCAGGAGACTTGGTGTCTGGGAAAGCTGCTCAGCTCAGACAGAGGTTTCTTCAGTTCCATTACAATGGGAGTCCAGCTGAAACCGGTTTGGCTCAGTGGATAGAGCGTTGGCCTGCGGACTGAAGGGTCCCGGGTTCGATTCCGGTCAAGGGCGTGTACCTTGGTTGCGGGCACATCACCGGTGGGGGTTGTGTAGGAGGCAGCTGGTCCATGTTTCTAGCTCTCTCTTCCTCTCCCTTCCTCTCTGTAAAAAAATCAATAAAAATGTATTTAAAAAAATAATAAAATAACATGAGAGTCCAGGCCCCCTCTGGAGGCCGGGAGGGGAAGTTTGATTCCGCTGTCACCTCTTGGGCTCCAAAGCGGAGGAACCTAAGTGGGCGAACCTCCGTCCAGGTGAGGATGAGACAATGACACAAGGCGGCAGCAGATTTCCCCAAGTCCCTAGCCGCACTGGACGCTCTGCAGAAACAACTTCTGGAAAACGCATGTTCCTGAAACTCTTTGCAAATGTGCCTCATCCGAAATCACAGCGCACCGCCAGCACTTGGGGCTGTTGATCCATTTCCTGGTGGAAGAAACAGGCTCCGAGAAGCAATGCCGGGAAGCGTGCGCTGCACGGTGACCCCAGGGCTGGTGTCTTATGCCCACAGCCCACACGCTCCCTAGCCCTGGCCTATCCCCACCGCAGCTGGCACCTGGAGAACATCACCCGGGAGACGCTCCACCCGAGTCACCCTGGCTCAGTGCGGGCCTGAGTCACCTCCAATCCCCAAAGTCCCCTGAGGTGGGACCTCCCTGTCCCCACTTAGGACACTGAGGCTCAGACAGACCAGTGATTGGTCTGAGGTACCCATCTGGCAGCAGCCGGGCCCAGCTCTTCACCGGGGTAGATGGTCTCCCTGCGGCTGAGGAAGCTCCCAGCCCACAGTGCGCTGCCCGGTGCCTGGAAGACGAACGCAGACTGTGTCCACACAGACAGGCCCAAACTTAAGGTGACCAGATTTTAACATTGGTAAAGCGGGACACCATTGACCGAGGTGGGGGCGGGGGGAGGGCGGGGTGTTCTTGATTAAAAATTTGGTCTATGAAGCTGAAACCGGTTTGGCTCAGTGGATAGAGCGTTGGCCTGCAGGTTGAAAAGTCCCAGGTTCGATTCTGGTCAAGGAATCTAGCACGCAGTACGATGTGTATCGTCTGAGAGACAGTTACAAATGTTTTCGTCATTGCGAACTTTGATAAGCAGTTCTCGATAATCAGTTTTCAACAATTATTTGTTATTATTAAAGTTTAACATTAAAAAATTAACAAAAATAATATTAAACTCATATCCTGGCTAAATAGCCACATGGCCACCGAAAACCATATATTCCCTTCCCGTTCTCCCGCCATTTCCTAGCTTGTTGTGCATTCTTTCAAAAAATCTAGACTTTTTAAAAATGCCACAGGACATAGGACAAATTGTTAAAAATCGGGACTGTCCCACCAAAAGCGGTACGTCTGGTCACCTTATCCAAACTGCCAAAGCCCTGACGAGTTCCAAAATACCAAATGTGTCCTAATTGGTTTGGCTCCGTGGACAGAGCGTCAGCCTGCAGACTGAAGGATCCCAGGTTCGATTCCGGTCAAAGGCATGTACCTTGGTTGCGGGCACATCCCCAGTGGCGGGTGTGCAGGAGGCAGCTGATCGATGTTTCTAGCTCTCTATCCCTCTCCCTTCCTCTCTTTAAAAACGTCGATAAAATATATTTAAAAAACAAAACAAAGTACGAGATGTTCCAAAGAACCTTCTGGGCCACCTGTCCTCCTCCCACGATGGGGAGTTCACGACCTCTCTAGCAGTTCCGTCTGGGACAGCGTCCTCCCTGAGCTTGCCGGGGAGATCCTCCCGGCTCCTCACCCCACCAGCCTCTGGGACCCCAGAGGGAGGGCTGCTCTGGGCACAGCACAGCCGGGCCGTCCGACGCCCTGACCTCCGCCCAGCCCGGAGGGCAGCCTCCGGAGCTCAGCCGCAGGCCTGGATGTCTTGAGGTCGCAGCTCTCGCTCACCCTCAGCCAGGAAGACGAGGAGGGCGCGATGCAGCAGGTGCACGCCCAGGCGCCGGCGGCGGGCGGGCGGCCAGCTCGCCACCACTCCGTAGCAGTGTCCTTGTTTCTGGTTGGTCAGTGTCCGGATCCCTGGGGAGATTGGGCGGGAGGTCACGGGCGTAGCCCCTAGCCTCGGTGAATTCCAGGTAGAGAAATGTGACAGTGAACCCACTGTGCATTCCCCTTAAGCAGGGATAAACCCATGGAGCAAAATCTGTGCATATGCAGGTACATCGTGGGTGCTCAATAGCTACGCATTGAACAAATTAACAGCCCTGAGAGGGAAGGGGCGAGGGAATTGGTAGAGCAAGTGCCCTTCCTGTGAGCCCCCCACCCCCACCCCACGAGCCAGGCACCCACCTAGAGCATCCACAAGACAGGCCTCTCGAGTGTAAGCCTCCACAGCGACCACATGCTGGAAGCAATGCAGGGACACAACACCACGGCCACTGGCCCAGATGTCCAAGATCCGGCGCACTTTGGGACAGGCCTGGGGGGCCGGGACAACGTCAGGGGCCCGCCTCCCAATCCCCTCCTTCCTCTGCCTGCCCACGGCCTGGCGGTCCCTGCCCTGCCCCCGGTGCTTATCCTCAGACCTGTTTTCCTGGCCTCCCGCGGTGGCCAAGGGCCTCCCAGAGGTGCACATTTGGCCGGGCCCGGGTCCCCTTGCCCACGTAGAAGATGGCGTGGACGAAAGTCCGAAGGCATTCGGCTGGAGTTAGCGAGGAGGCTCGTGCTGGCAGGTTCCGAGTCTCCCTGGATGAGAAGGCTCGGCTCAAAGAGGGAAACGTGACAAGAGTAGCCCTAGAGCCGAAACCGGTTTGGTTCAGTGGATAGAGCGTCGGTCTGCGGACGGAAGGGTGCCAGGTTTGATTCCGGTCAAGGGCATGTACCTTGGTTGTGGGCACATCCCTGGTGGGGAGAGTGCAGGAGGCAGCTGATCGATGCTTCTTTCTTATTGATGTTTCTAACTCTATCCCTCTCCCTTCCTCTCTGTAAAAACTCAATAAAATATAAAAAAGAAAAAGAAATTAAAAAAAAAAAAGTAACCCTAGAGAAAACCTCTCTAAGCTCACAGGGTATATACAACCCATGTCCAGAGACCCCCATTTCATAAGGCAGCGCCCAAAGACACTCGGCAGCTTGAATGAGTTCCACCTGCCTTTTCTAGACGAAGCTTAGGACCAGAGAGAGGGGCCAGTTCCCTCCGGAGGACACGCAGCATATAGGAACCAACCCGGAATTCCGGCTCCCGCTTCCGGTACCTGGGGTCCAGCAGCAGGTACGTGAAACTGGACTTCGCGACCCCCTCCCGCCACCTCCTGCTGGGGTCCGGCTGCTCGAATTGCCGGGCCAGTGCCTCCTCATCCGCCTGGGCGTCTGGGATCCGGCCTGTCCTCAGGGCCTCGGTCAGCTCTGGGCTGCGCCCCGGAAAGCCTGGGCCTGGGAGGGGACACTGGGTCAGGAGAGACAGAGGAAGGGGTGGTTCCCAGAGGGGAAGAGGGAAGTGGCGCCGGGAGCCGGGGGGAGTCTCCGGGGCCTCCGGATGCCCAGAAGGGACTAACCCAGAGCGGCCTGGGCTTCTTGGAGTCGTCGGAGGTAACGCGGGCGGGTGAAGGGCGTGACGGGGCCCGGGCTCTCCCCCAGGGCCCGGAGCCTGTGCAGCAGCTCCAGGTCGGACAAGCCGGGAGGACACCCGGGAGAGGGGGCTGGGTCCCCGCCACCTGCGGACTGCGCCTCGTCCTCTGTCAGCCAGGGGGCGCCACGCTCGCCGTCAAAGGACGACTGGTCATCCCTTAGGAAGTGGAAGTCCAGGGGTCCAGGCAGTGGTTCCGGGTTCGGAGGGGGGCTGTGGGCCGGGCTCCTGTCTGGGAGGGACGAGGGGCAGGGGGAGGTCAGAGTCAGGGCCTGCAGAAGGGCCTTTAGTTGGGCCTCCTTGCCCGTCACGATGGCTCCATGTTCCGGCGGGGGGGTGTCCGGAGACTCCAGCGCCCTCTGGGACGGTCGGACCTGAGGCAGGAGTTGCTGCCTGGGCGATGGTCCAGCCCAGGGGTACGTCCGGGGGGCTGGGTCCTGGGCTCCAGAAGCCTCGACAGCCGTGACAAAGGAGGCGTCTGAGCTGCAGTCCCAGCACCCTGGGGAGGACTCCAAGCTGCCATCCCCGTCAGCAGCTTCAGGGCAGGCAAGGGGGCGGGAGGGTCCAGGGCTAGCCTTCGGGTCCGTGTGGCCGCTGTCGCTTCTGCCCAGTCCTGTGCAGTCCAGTGTCTCACTGGGAGGTCCAGAGGCGCTGGCATCCAGGCCCTTTCCCTGGAGGGCTGAGCCTGGAGCAGAGGGTGAGAGCTGGGGTCAGAGGGCAGGGTGGGGGAAGCCGGCGATGGGAGTTGGATCAGCAACAGGTGGCCGGAGTCAGAGGGAAAAGGGAGAATGAGGGAGGCAGGGAGCACTGACCAGACACTGGACGTGAGACAGTCAGAACCAGCGGGAGACGGTGCACGTCGGTGAGAGACACGATAAGCTGGTGTCTCCGCACTGGCCTCACTCACCGCTGGGCCCAGGCTCCGGCTCCTGGGTCTCTGACGGGGTCCAGGGAGGGGTCCTCGCCAGCTTCGGGAGCTCCCGCAGGACGCGCACACAGTCCCGGTGCCCCTGTTGTTCTGCCAGGTCCAGTGGCCGGAGTCCATCCTGCAGCGGCGCCATCAGCAGGGGGCGCCCATGCCTTCTTGCCCCCCTTCCTCCCGCTCTGCAGGTCTGCCCTTCGCTCCTCCAGGGCCGCTCACCTGGTCCAGCAGCCGGGGGTCGGCTCCCTGGCTCAGCAGCAGCTCCAGGCTGCGGCTGCAGCCCCAGGCGGCGGCCACATGCAGCGGGGTCAGCGCCTCGGCCGACCTGGGGCAGGAGGGGAGGCGTGCCTGTCCCCTCACCTGTCCACCACCTGTCCCCATCTGTCCCCCATCTCCACCCTCAGCCTGGGGCATACTCAGAATCTAGATCTTAACGCCCTCGGCCTGGGACCCAAATCTCTGTTCTCTGACCCTAGAGATTCTACCTCTGGACCCGAAACGTAGATCCCCGTTCTGGCCCCAGAGCCACCCCACCCTCCACCTCATTCTGGGACCCTAGTCCTCGCCCTTGGGCTCTCAGGATCCCCCTCTCTTCCTCCCACCCCCCCCAAGTTCCACAAGCTCCTCCCGGGGGAACCGAGTCCCCACCCTTGGAAGGTGGGGTGCACTCTCCGGGACTCCGAGGCCACGCCTTCCACTGGGAACCCCCCTTCCCCACGCGGAAGGCCCCGCTCAGGGACCAGACCCGCCTCACCGAGCGTTGGGGTCCCCGCCTCCCCGCAGCAGAGCCTGGAGGCAGCGCAGAGCGCAGGGCCGCCGGGCGCCCGCCGCCAGGTGCACCGCCGCTGCGCCGTCCGCCAGCACCAGGTTGGGGTCCGCGCCGCGGCGCAGCAGCTCCTCCACGGCCCTGCGATCAGGGATCAGGGGGTCAGAGCGGACCCCACCCTCGCCCCCGCCCTGTCCGGCCGCCCCGCCCCGGCCCGTCCTCACCGCGGCTCCCCCTCCCGCAGCGCCGCCCGCAGCCGCCAGGCCAGCTCCGCGGCGCCCATGCCCGCCTGTCACCGCCTGTCAGTTCAAACTTCCCGCGGCGGCCTGTGCGCACGCGCCGCCCCGCCCCGGGCTCCGGGCTCAGCGCCCGCTGCCCCGCGGGGTGGTACCCGCCAGGCTGGCCCGGCCGCACTGCATGGCACACATGGGGATTCTTGCTTCAGTGCCCACCCAGGTCCGCCACCTCGAGTGGTGCTCAGGCGGAGCCTGGAGGGTGGGCCATTTTCTGGCTCAAAACGGGGAAGCGCGGACACAGCCTGCAGACGGGGGCGGAGCTGCCACCCGGTGACCTGGAGGTGCCCACGGCTGCACAGGCCTCCGTGAGCCGCAAATTTAATGATCAGCTCCCGCCTCTGACTCTGTATCGCCTGTTTGCAGTCTCGCGGAGCCAGGAGGTCGTGCCTTTGGGGCTCTGGGCCTTGGTTTTCCCATCTGCAAAATGGGAGAGTCGCTTCCAGGCTGGTGTGAGGTTGAGTCAGCGTGTTTCATCGCAGGGTCCTGGCACGCGGGTGCCCCAATAAATGCTACGGGAAGGAAAGCTGTCGCTCAGTAAGGCCATTTTAATTTCCTATGGAACTGAGAATCTCTATCTGGTCAATCTTTTTCACTGTTGTTCATCATCCAGATAGTTGATTAGTGGACCTGTTGTGCTGGTCTTGTCTCCCTTCCGGGGAGCACCCACACTATTTCCTGGGACCTGTAGTCCTCCCCTTCTCAGGAGGCTTGATCCAGGCCTGAACAATCTGAACGTCCCAGAGCTCTGGCCCATGACCCCCAAGGCCAGCAATAGGGGGTCTGGGCAGTGGTCACAACTGTCAACCAATCGTCATGGTGCCAATTCAATGCAACAGAAACCCCCAATTCAGGGTGCAGTGAAAGAAGATACTTTATTCAGAGCAAACACCTCAGTACAGAACAGCACAGCCCTTTCTGGCAAATTATTTCAGCTCCAGTTCGAGCCTTTGGTGGAAAAGGAACGCGCCTTGCCCAGCCATAACGGAAGTTACCAGTATATAGGGAAGCCTCAGCCCCTGACCCTTAATTGGGCTGTTCTCATGCAAATGAGTACCCCAAATCATCAGTTTGATTGGCCCAAAAAGCACTATGGAGTGGAGCTATTCTGATTCATCAAAGATGCTAACACAGCTACGAACCAGGAGGTCACAGCTCAATCCCCCATCAGATCATATGCCGGGGGTTGCGGGCTCGATCCCCAGTGAGGGGCATGCAGGAGGCAGCCAGTCAATGATTCTCATCATTGCTGTTTCTATTTCTCCCTCTCGGAAATCAATAAAAACAACGTATTTTTTAAAGATGCTAACAGAGACTGTAGTTCCTCAGCTCCGATTGGACCGAGGGGTTACCGCCATCCTATTGGTTGAAGTAGGATTCCAGGAATTCCGTTATCGTTGGCTGCCCCAGCAGGAGCACAGGGCTGGCGGGCAGGCATTTCAGGGCAGAAGGCAGTTTTTCTCCCTGAAGCTGCGCTTGTGTGAGAGATAAAGGTTCCTTGGCTTTTTTTGTTGTTGTTTTTTAACATGAGACCAATTAGCCACCAGGAGCCCCTCGGGGTAGTATTTTCCTTTTAGGGGTTGGCACACCATCACACCCCTTTCCACAGGTTGGAAGAAAAGCAGGAGGCACTCAACACCACACGGAGTAGTTCACCCACCCCACGGGCGATGTCTGAATGGCAGGATGGAGTCAGCCTGAGGCGCGCCTTGGCTTGCCCACCAGAACCAAGCCATTCCCCTTTCTGTTCCCCGGGTGCGTTCCTGTCACCCTCACCCAAGAAGATCCTTATTAACACAAGGCGGCTGGTGTGGACCTTGGCTAGAGACTTCTCAGGTTTTATTCTGATGACAAAAATCACACGGAGGAGAACAAATTACAATTGGCAAACTGGGGGCTGAAACACGGGCGGGGAGTCATGGGTGCCCACAGTCCTGGGATGCCTCCTGGAACAATGGGTTTCCGTCCGGGGCTCCGGAGTGGCCAAGTGCTTCCTTGAAGTCCCCCAGGGGTCCCACCGAGTGGAGTTTGAGAACCAGCACTCTAGGCCAGGGGCTTCACTGTACCAGGCTGGGCTGGTCGCACAGGGAGGGCTCAGACGGTGGCCTCGACCTCAGTGGCCTCCTCCTCCTCCTCCAGCAGGCTGTAGGAGGCGTGGCTCTGGCAGGGCCGTTGCAATGGGTGAGCCAGCAGCTTGGCCATACAGTTGTGCAGCTCCAGGGCTGGCCCGGCCAGTGCCACCTCATACTTGTAGCTGGTGCCCTTGGTATCCAGGCTGCCCATGAAGGCGAACATGTCCTGTGGGGCCAGGGAGGGGCTCTTCAAGCCGGGGTTCCCTGACAGGCCTTCCCTGCCCCCGGAGGGCTTCCCAGAGGAGGAGGCACCAGGGGGAGGTTCTGGAGGGTGAAGAGTTTTCCAGGCAGAAAACCCCCCTGCATTCAGCAGACACTGCCTGCTGCCCACCCTGTGTCAGGGACACCGACAGGTTTCAGCTTTGGAGCCTCGAACTGGAGTCAGTTGGATCTAAACTACCCCCTGAACCCCATACTGATCTTCCTCGAGGGGTTTTAGGGAAGGCTTCCCTCAATAGACACTCTGGGTTTAAATATTGAGGTACGAGTAGGAGCTGGTCTCACCCCCCCCCCCCCCGTACAGTTGGGTAAACTGAGGCTCGGAGAGGTAAGGGGCCCACTTGAAGTCCCACAGCTAGTTCAGGGCTGGAACGGGAATGTCCAGCGGAGTCTGGGTAGGCAGGGAGAGAAGGGTGCCCCCAAAAGAGAGCACAGCCAAGGCAAAAGCAGGGAGAGAGAGAAGCAGGCCCCCGTCCCAGCAGCCCCCGAGCTCCCAGCAGACCACGTGGAAATGGCTGTCAAATGACCCAATGACCAGGAGCCAGAAGCTGGGATCCCCGAGGCCCGGGGTGGATGGTTCTAAGATATCCCATCCACCCACACCTGCCAGGGCCTCACCTTCCAGCTCATCTCCTCCTCCTTCTCGTCGGCGCCATTGTGGATGTAAACAACGTCGAAGAAGAAATACGGACACTGGAACATTTTCTGCGAGCGAAGAACACCAGCCTCGGAGGCTCAGTCACCCTGTGCCCGGTGACCACAATCCCCCGCTGCCGCCGGAGACTCAGGGAACCCGCCAGGCGGTGCTCAGCCCCGCGCTCAGGAAACCCCTCCCGGCGTTTCACCACCCTCTCCCGGGGCCCCCGTCACCTTCATGGGCTCCGTCAGGGAGAACTGGGGCTGGCACGGTGGGCGGCTGTAGACGAGGATGGTGCGGACCACGTATGGGGGCGGGATGGTCTGCACATTCTCCGTGACTGGCAGCTCGGTCTTCTGTTGACTGCACAGCAAGGGGGCAGATGAGAACACGCTCCGGGGGTCCCTCCCATCACCACCTTGGAGAGCTGCTCAGCTCCTTGATGGGCATGCAGAGCCCCAACCGTGCCCTCCCCAGTTTACTGCTGTCTCTGAGCCTTCCCACGGGCTGTTCTCTGCCCAGAGCACCCCGCAGCCTGACCCTCTGCCTGACCCTTCTGTTTGGCTAAACCCAGAGCCGAAGCCTGCTCTGCCCACCCTGAGTGTCCCCCACCACCTGGAGCTGGCCCTGCCCTACCAGGCCAGGAAACGCTTAGGAAGGGACCTCATCGTTTATCTAAGTCAAGAGACATTTCCCTACTTGGCCACAGCTGGATCTCACAGGCAGAGGGCACTAGGCAGAGGGCCAGGTCCTTCCTATGTGAAAAGCAAACCTGGTCCTTCACAAGAACCAGACAGACAAACAGACAAATCACTAAAGGAATACCAAGTGGCTTTAAAATGAATGAAAAAAGGCTCCAAGAAAAGCAATCACACAGGCAGAGCTCTCAGCAGCATGCTCAATCCTGGGGAAATGAGCGGTTAATTTCGGAGGCAGCACTTGGGCAATGTCTAGCAAAACAGCCCCCTCCGCTCCCCAACCAAGTATGTCCTCATGGATGAAGGTGCCTCATGGGTTCACTCACTGAGATGTTTGTACCAAGTTAACTAAAGGCGACACAAGCTTTGTGCACAGCATCGGGGGCTGGTGAAAATGCAGACCAACTAAGAATGGGTTCTACGTTTTTAAATACCTGGAGGGAGGAAAATCAAATGACTATTTCATGGCATGTGGAAATGACATGAAATTCAGTGCTTATCAATAAAATCATTGACACCCTAGAGGCCGGGCACTGTGGGGTCCCTCGGCTTGGCCTGCGGGGATCGGGCTGAAATCAGCTCCCTGACATCCCCAAAGGGGTCCTGGATTGTGAGAGGGCGGTTCTCTCCGCCCAAACCACCTCCCAGCCTTCCCCAGAACTGGGCTCCCTCCTCTCTGGTTCAGGGTGCATCACCCAGAAACCACAGCTGCCAAGTCACGCAGCTTAGCAGCTCCTGCAGCAAGCATCTGCCCCCTGGTGGTCAGTGCGCGTCATAGCTAGCAGCCAGCCCACCGCTTGCTTAGGGCTTTTATTTATTTTTTTAAATATATTTTATTGATTTTTCACAGAGAGGAAGAGAGAGGGATAGAGAGTTAGAAACATTGATGAGAGAGAATCATCCATCAGCTGCCTCCTGCACGCCCCCTATTGGGGATGTGCCCGCAACCAAGGTACATGCCCTTGACCGGAATCGAACCTGGGACCTTCCAGTCCGCAGGCCGACGCTCCATCCACTGAGCCAAACCGGTTTCGGCTGGTTGCTTAGGCTTTTAGATGGATGGATGGATGGATAGATAGCCACACCCACTGTGTCCACAGAGTTTGTGGTTGCCTTTGGATTCCTAAGGCAGAGTCAGTTGTTACGATAGATAGAGACCATATGGTCGGCGAAGCCAGACACCTTTGGCTTTTATAGACACAGTATGCAGCCTCCTGGGCTAGAACAGCGTGTGGAGGGCCGGGGGCCACCACAGACGCACACAGAGGGTGAGCTCAGGGAAGGAAGGACTTACATGAGGCTGAAGAGGCCTTCCATATCTGGTGGGGACGCTAAGGACACAGGCGGCAGAGCACGGGTGGGAA